CCCCCCCCCCCGGTGGTGTGAGGATTTTCCTAGGCGCTAGAGATGGAGCCAGATTGCCTGGTACCACCGGCCGCGGGGCGGGGCGGGGGGGGGGGTTACGGCTGCGTCGAGGTCACCTTGGCGCGGGGTGTCCTGCCTGGAACGCGAGAGCGCAGGCGAGGCACGGGGGGGGGAGGATTGGTGGTTCGGGCAGGCCGCCGTGCCCCGGCCAGGCCCCTTCTCCCAGCCTGGCCCACCCCCCCCCCCCTGCCTCTCGACCCTCCCCTGACCCAAGCACCAGGGGAAACTCACAGGCGGCCGTGCATGACAAGACCTCCCTCCGGTGCGTGAGCCGGCTCGCATGGGCGCCAACAAGAGGCGCCAGCCGGGCACCATGCTCCCCGGACGGCAGAGCCCCTTCCCCCGGGTGGCGGCATGCTACCGCGGGTGGGTGTGTGTGTCCCCGGCGCGCGACGTTGGAAGAGATACCCACACGCGCACACACGCCCCGGCCTTGGCATGAGCACACCGCGCACAATGGCACTCCAGGCAGTGGGACGGCAGGGGCGACCGGCGACGGAGCAGCGCTTCGGAGGTCTCGGAAGCCCCAGCACCACCTGGTGCCCAGGCGTGGACCCGGGGCAAAAGTCATGCACCGGGGGCGCGCAGGGCACAAGGCCGAGGATGACTCGGCCGATGAGAGGGGCCAAGCAACATAACACAGGCATGTCGGCCGGCCGGTGGGCAGATGCGTTTGGCCGACTCGCAGGAGACGCCCAGGAAATATGACGGCAAACTCTCGCGGCTCTCCGGTCGCCGGTGACACCGGGCATTCTATGTGCGGCGGGGGGATTTTGCCTGTTCCCGGCGGATTGCCGGCCCACGGGGGGTGGCTGTTCGAGTCTCGGCACTATTCTCCCCTGGGCGCCCAGCTCCGGCGCCGCCACACTCTGAGAGCTGCCTGCCCGCGCGCCCGCCCCCCGCCACAAACGCAACGGGGAAAAATGCGCCAAGCGGAACAGACCATCGCGTGAGAGGGCGGGCGCGGGGCCCGGGCAGACCGGTGGGCGTCTCGCGGCTGGACGACCGGGCCCATGCGGGAAAATGGCTTTTCCGCGCCGCGAGCGTCGCCCAGTAGGGCGCAGACCAGGAAGGGGGGGACAAAGAAGCATGGGCCGGTTGTGCGCGCGGAAATGGGGGGCCGATCAGCCGACCCAGTCCCTTTTTCCTGGTCGCCCTCCGCATCTGGGACGGCGGGCGGGGGACAAGTCCAGGACCGGCAATCCCAGGGGCCGGGGCCCTCGGAGGGGACAGCCACCGGCGCAAGCGGTCCGGTGCACGCCCACCCCGGAGACAGGCGGGGGGGGGGGGGGGGGGCGGGGGAGGGAAAAGAAGGAGGGAGGGGGGGGGGGGGGAGGGTTCGCCCAAACTTATTACCGGCGTCAACCCCCTCCCCGGGGGGGGGGGGAGGGCGGGGGCGAAAGACGAGCACCTCCCGCCCGCGCGGCCCGGCCGGAGAGCGTTAGTATTTCTTCGTGGATGGGCAGGCGCGGGCGTCCCGGCGCGCAGTTGTTCGTGGCCGAAAGATGACCGCGGCCCCCTGGCCAGAGAAAGAAATAACAAAGGCCGAAGGGACCCCGGGGGGGGGGGGGGAGGACCGGCAAGGAGCGGGGCTCTGCGCGCGTGTGTGCGCGAATGGCCGCGCAGCCGGCGCAAGCACACCCATCCGCCGGCAGCCATGGCTGCGGGGGGCACCCGCGGCAACGCTAATAACCTGCAGCACCCCGAGCGCGAGGCGCAAAATATCGGGCAGCGGCGGGAGGGGGTTCCCCCCCACAGACACCGGGCGAAATGCAGCTGCACTGGCCGGGACCCTCCGTCACATGTCCCGGGGGGACTCCGCAGAGAGACACCACACTCCCAATGGGCTGGCGAAAAAATAAAAAGAGGCAGCTCAAACAAGAATATAACACCCCCCCTGCTCCCTCGGCCGCGCCCTGTCCCCAAAACGCGCTCCGGCGGGACGGGAGGGAAAAGGGCGGCGACCCCCCCCCCCCCCGGCACCCTCTCCCGTCCCCATGCCTCTCTCTCTCTCTCGGGGCGCACAGGCTTTCCTGTTGGACTGTGGCCAGGGAGAAACAGCGAGGGGGCCAAGAAATATGTCCCTCCCCCCCCCATGAGCAGACAGGAACAACCGCTGGAAACGCATTCCTCCCCACGCGGAGGAGGACAGACATGCGCCCCTGATGCCGCCGGCCCCCCCCTCCCCGACGAGCCGCCGCGAGCTCGGAGGGAAATATTTGCAGCAATGCGCCACGCGAGGGCGAGCGAGCATCGACGCTAACAAGATCGCCACTACCAAACGTGCTGCTCAACACCCCCCCCCCCCCCAGCAGCGGCAGCGGGAGGGAGGGAGGGGCTGACCGACACGGAGGAAACATGTGCGTGGGCGGCCACGCGAAAGGGCCACCAATCCCCACACCCCAACAACACGGGCCTCCGGAAGGCCCCAGGGCATCGGCCAGCGGCCGTCGATGAAACCCCGCGATGCGTGGGGCCCGCCGGAACACATGTTGGCGTGGAGACTGTGGGGCGGAAGGGCGAAGAAGTCTCCCTGCCCCACACAAGGCTCAGCATGTCCGGTCGCAGCCGCGCACACCGGTGCCCAAGGGCCAGGCCTTGGGGCCGACAGCGGCCCTCGACCGAGAGGATATATCCCCCGGAGTCCGGCGGGAAGCCCGAAGGCTCCCGGGCCCCTGAGACCACGCCCACCGGGGGCGGCCCAGCTGTGTGCCCGGACAGGGGAGGGAGGGGAGGCACAGAGGGAAAATCGACCATACCCCTTGACCTGGGGCGAGGAATGTCACCGTCAGGACCGCGCCTCCTGGCACGGCGGCTGCCGCCCCCGCCCATGGGAGCCGAGGTGCGTGAGCAGCTCCCGCGCTCTGTCCCCCCGCCCCCCGAGGAGCTGGGTGCGCCGGCCCACCGAGGCTCTCCGGCCCAAACAGGAGGACAAGGCCAGCACGGGGGGGGGGGGTGCCCGCGCTGTGCCAACCACACAAATAAACCATGCTCGCCGGCCGGTTACAGGGCAGACGGCCAGTCAGGACACATTAATTGAAAACGAAGAGCCTCCAAACGGCCGGTACACGTGCCTGCGCGTGATTCTGCAAGTGCATCATCGCCCCCACGAAGGAACACCATTCCCCTCGGGAGGGTATCCAGCCTGCCACACGCGTGCGTATGCTCACTCTCCTGGGCCCTTGCTCCAGAAAGGAGCCGGGCTCAGACGAGGGTGGACGATCCGGAAACAAGTCCCGGAGGTTGGGGAAGTGTGGCATGTCAGGTCGAGGCTCAAGTCGTGCTCCCTCGGGCACAGTCGCCCTGCTCCGGCCTCCCCCCGGCCCTCCGAGGCAGGGGCAAAAGCGCACACCAGGGCCCCGGGCGCTGGGGGGGAGGGAGGCGGCCACCCCCGTCGAAGCCCGGTCCGCGGGGTGGGCAGGCACATATATAAAAAGGGCGCGGCGGCCCCTTCCGGATGTGAGGGCTCGGTCCACATTCCCATGTCACCTCGACTGGCGAGCGTCCTTCTTCACCCTCTCCCGCCTGCCCCC